TACTCAGCACTATATCTTCCATCCGACCTCTAGGCCTAATGGTGATCGATAGCATCGGTCAGTGATAAATGTAAACCATCACAAGTTCTGTGTGGAGGTTAACATTGAACTTAAAATCTAAGAAGAGAGCTTTTTTACGATTAAAATAGTATTATAAGCCTAACAATATTTTTTCATAGTTTCATAACAATTTGGTCATGACAAACTATTTACTTACGCGGAACACCTTCATGTGGACACTATTTCCGGTTCATGACGGCACCTGCCGCGAGCACACATTCTATTTTGAGAAAAAAACAAATGGGAAGATCAATTCTCAAATCGTTCTTACCGTCTGAGGTATTCTCAAACTGTCAACCCGTGGTATTGATATGATCATGATACTGGTAGGTGGTATTACATGTAAGTAATACATCTGTAGATGATAACTAATATATGATAATGATTATTATCAAACAATATAATTGTTATTATCATACAATATAATTGTTATCATCATATAATTTAATTGCTATTATAAAATGTTATTCTAATGACCATACATATATAATTGCTATCATCATACAATATAATTGTTATTATCATATAATTTAATTGCTATTAAAAAATGTTATTTGAATGACCATACAATATAATTGATATCTTCATATAATATAATTGCTATTTTAAAATGTTATTCTAATAACAATCCAATATTATTGTTATTATCATACAATATCTTTGCTATTTTAAAATTTTATTATGATGACCATACAATATAATCGTTATTATCATACAATATAAATGTTATTATAAAATGTTATTCTAATGACCATACAATATAATTGTTTTATCATACAATATAGTTGCTATAATAAAATGTTATTATAATGACCATCCAATATAATTGCTATTATCATACAATATAATTGCTATTATAAAATGTTATTCTAATGACCATACAATATAATTACTATTATATAATGTTTTTCTAATGACCATAAAATATAATTGTTATTATCATACAACATAATTGATATGGAGGTATTTTCTACTTAGTCCTCTATTTTACTTACATGTATTGTGTATCATTCAGTTGTTATGTTTGATTGAAGTTTCTTATTCATACATTGATATATTTTCTCTTTTCTCTCTCTCTATTATTGATAGACAGTGCGTGTATCTAACTAATATATATTCTAACATCAATAAATTGTGTGTCATTGTGATCTGATGTTGTTGATATTTTCCCCCAAAGACCAATGCCATTCAGTAGCACTCTAAAGTCAACATTACATCCGGGCTATCGTAAGGAGGCAAATACACCAACTTATCAATACGCACGTTTAGGAAGGCCTTAAATGACCGTAGATGTTAATACGACGCTGAACCTACTAAAACACCTAGTCATTGGTATTACCGTGGTCCAAACAGATCCGTACATCGTCACATCTAAAACAAAATGAAGAAGAGGCTTTTGGTGAACTCTTAAGTGTTTTATCTGTATGATCTTTGTCCTTTGTCTTATTTTCTATTATTATTTAGCTCGTGATTTGATCGCTCATGGGAAATATTTATGAATTCATTAATAGAGATTCTCAATAGAACACATTTTCATTTCACTTATTTAAGACGATTCTCGTAGACTTAGTCACCTTGTGCTTATCGTCATTTTAATAGAGTTTCATTTTAACAATTGAAGAATTCCGAAGGGAGAAAAGGTCAGACTGTTTTTCAAAAAAGATTTTTGTTTCTCCCCATTCCACCAGGACATTTAAGATTACTATTATAACAGTCGAAATCGCTAATGTCGACGTCATTTGGAGCACCAATGATAGAAACTTCTAGATGGAAAACCAATAAATCATTTGAGATACTAAACATGACAATAAACATGTAATTCAACTCTGATTCAAGTGAAAACAACATTTATAACGAGACAGTTTACTTTGTTTATGTTCATGTTTACCAAACCGCCTGCATCCTTCTTTCTATTGAAACAAGGCGACCCACAAAAAACTGCGCTTGCGTGTGACTGGAGGAAACAACTTCAGGAGAGGTACTTGTCGAGAAAGAAGGCACTTGTTTATTTAAGAAGAACAACTAAAGCCTCGTATAATTTTTTTAAAATGTTGTGGTTTAAGCATTGTGATGGAGGTAAAATAATGTAATGTTTATTGATTCATCACAATAATATAAATTTCACAAATATTTCTAGATAGTAAGGCGGCAACAAGATATTGGAGCTCTTACTGAGATTCGACAGTTTGATATGAATAATCAAAGCTAAGTTTGTTTTGAATACAAACGATTCTTGTAAACTTAATTCGCGAGCTTTCGAAAACGTCTGTTTCATGTGTTCAAAGAGTGCAAATGACGGGTATTTCGACTCTAAACCGCTGAAAACTACTTAGTCTCATTTCTTGTTTGGTCCGACTCATAATTTAGTCTGCTTTTCTAACACCATCATTTGCCATGGGAAAAGCGCGCAAAAATACCGCTGTTACAAAAACCATGACTTTTCTTGTATGTCTGATTGCAAATCAACTCAGGATGCTCTTCTACAGTGAATGTGAAACTGGAAGTTTATGACCATATAAAAGCGTGCATTTACATCTATTAGTATATTTAACGTTATGTCGTTGACAAATACCATGTTTATGCATATCAATATTCAAATAATAATAAACTTGCACTGGTTCCTATGCTTAAGTTCGATTATCTTGCGTCTCGCAACAAAACCACCTTTAATTTGTCAATTTACCACAAGATACTCTCGTGAGGTTATGTCGGTGCTTGGTGGCGGAGCCGGCGGTCACGTGGTATTGAGGCTGGCAGGAGACAGGACGAGCATGATGGTTTCGTTCTGTGTTGATCACAAGTAAATGGCTGGTGACAGGTCCAGCCCCAGTTTAAGCGTTAATATAGCTAGATATGCAGGCTGCTTGCACGGACAAAATTGAGACAGCGAATTCGTATTGCTTTTGTTGTGTACATGCAGATGAGCCGTCCATAACTAAGATATGTTTTCGATTTTTGAAGTCTTTTGAGGAACAGGTACTGTATGATTAACTCCGGGCTAATCTAGAGGAATCCACGTGGCCTTCGATGACCAATGAGGGATACAGCGGTGATCGAGTGTACAGCCATTTCAGTTCACCCCCGAGACAATAAACAGGACTCTACTGAGTGTTGAATTTTCCATTAAGTCATAGTTAGATATTTTATAACTTACAAAGAATAGAAAACATGTTGTATTAGAGGTTAACTAGAAGAAATTAAACATTGTGCCGTACTAGCGTTAACATAGTGTAGTTCCATCTTTAGTATCTTACCTACCGTGAATACATGTCTCATGTCGATTGGCTTTTGACTTGCAACACTATTAAGGTTTCGAGAGATGTACACGCACGCACGCACACACAAACGCACACGTAAGTGGACCTGTACATTTTGTAATAGATGCAATATGCATATAATGAATTACACTGTTTCGTCTGATGCGAAGGGCCAAAAAGTTGGAAATCTTATATCAATATTGGTCCAAACTACTGTTCAAACAGGAGGGTAAGTGCATTTAACTCAATTATATGAATTAATAAAATTTGAGGACTGCTGGTTACTTCCAAATACATAATGAGTAAAGTGTGTATACTTTGAAACGTGGCATCAAGGTTACGGCTAACCTCGGAAACTGATGTAGTTTTTTGTATGGTAAATGGTTGAACATAACGACGTTGTATACTAAAACATTTATTTTGTACAAAACTAAAACATAAACATGTACCCGTCACTGAGACATCATCGTGTAAAATTATCTGAACATATTTTTCATACAAATATCTACATGGCTTATTTAACAGTTATTAAACATATAGTTAGAAAAAAAAACATAGAATTTGTCATGTTTCATCATAAAAACTAATCTGAACACAATATAAATCCCATACAACCATTGTGTGAATATGTCCAAGTACTCAAGGCCAGGAAGAAAATTGATTGGGCCATCGATCGTTGTTCATACATACTTAACAACCAATCATACAGCACGATTATGTCGTTAAGGAAATATATACGTTAAACCTACCTACCAGATTTTTGTTTTCTAGGAAGCTCTAACTACAAATTACATATTAACTGACCGTACATTTACTGATGCCAGAAGTCGGTGGAATAATTGATGATTGTCCCAATAATACATGAGTAACCTCACTTGTTACACTATGAGAGCTCGTATAAAATCTAGAGGATACTTGAGTGTTAAAAAAAATCAAAATCCACCAAACTAGCAATAGGGCAAGTATTAGCAAAGATGTATGCGGACGCAACTTAAAAGCTATACGGAGAAAAAAATCAAATGTTCAATAAGGGTAAGCTTCTACTATTCTTATTGATCGTAAGTTTAGTCATACGTTAATAAATGCTACTAAAGTACGTTAACAGTATATTCAATCATACCAAAACTTCAAAATGAAATATTTCAACATGATGCCAGAACAAAACCCATCCCTATTATGACTACATCATGAAATATTGCTGTCAAAATACATTTGCAAAACGATGAATAAAAACGTAAATGCTGTACATTATTGTAATAAGTTTAAATGTAAGTGTGTATATAAAATGTCCCACACATAGGACATAAATCGCTCTAAACATTATGAACTTCCATCGTATGTACGTTATGAATCTTGCATTTATTAAAACTAGTTTTTAAGGTAGGACAAGAACGAATGTTCTCGAACACAATGGCATCAACGACTTTCATAAATTTGCATTAAAAATTAATTGATTGGCAATGCATAGTAATGTAACTAACATGTAAATAATTTATACCAATCACCAGGTGAGAAGCAGTTAACTTTGAAGACGTTTTTCGGTGTAAAAACAAATGATATACGTAACAAAAAGGGCTTATTGTAAACTCACATTTTGTAGATACATACTGAACACAATCTTAAAATCATTATTACAATACGACAAATGTAAAATGTATGGCACAAAAAATGTACACGTTAGGAAAAGATCACACTTTTAATTAGACTTTCATTTAATACTCACCAAGTAAACAAACATTTAATGCTGTTCGTCTAACGATTCAGAAATGGCCCTGTACTTAATGGATTGTAAACATAAAAATAACAAGTTTCTTCCTCAAAAAGGATTAATTTGTAGAATTTATAATGCAAGCTATGAAAACGTATAAAAATTATCAAAAATATTGATGTGGTAAATGGATTACTTAAATAAAGATGTCATGCATGGGTTTAACATCCAATAAATCACAAATATGTTCCTTACTATATAACGTATACATGAACTAAGTGTTTGTGGGCGTATTTAAGTAGCTAAGTTTAGTTTCTTTGGCAAAATACAAGGAAGAAAATGGAAAAAATCCTAAAACATGAGGTTTTTTATGTCCTCTTTTTCTGAAAAAGCCGTAGATGTCGATAATAGATAATGGCGCGTCCATGGCACGGAATCGAGGTAGGAACGTTGTTTGTAATCGTTCTTCACCATCAAAACTTGCCAATAAAAAACACTTACAGAGCAGTTTCTTTAGGGAAAAAACATGATATGTACAAATGTAGCCACGAACATCTAGTCTACAAAATATTGGTCCCAAAATTGATCAGTCTAGTTATTCTTCGTATAATTCATATTCAACACTCCTTCAATTCCAGCGACACGACATATTTCTACTCTTCCAATGACATTTTGCAATGACACGAACATATATACAAAAAAATAAGTCCTTTCACACGTACGCTAATGTCGGCACTTTTGTGACCGAATCAAAGTAGTACCATGTATGTACACCAGCCACCATCGCGCTGCACAAAAGTATTTTCATGGTCAATATTGGAAGATAATGAATGATGAACTATCCACTAATTTTGTCTAGTTAATAGTATATATTGTCACCTCAAAAATGTCTCTCTGTAATACCGTTTAAATAAAACATGCTGGAATTAACCTGTGCAAAGCATCCGGAGTAAATGTCTTTCTATATAGTTGCAGCAATCTGATTCCCTCGATGGACTTCTCCACCTTGGACGTGAGTTTTCAGGTGTTTGTTGAGAGTTTGTTTATCTTCCTGATTTTCACCACACACGAAACACTTGAAGGTCGTCTCCGTCATGTGAAGAAGTTTGTGACGTTGTAGACTGCTGAGAAACGTGAAGCCTTTCTTGCAGATCTCACACCCATACGGCTTCTCGCCTGTGTGGATACGACGGTGGTTAGTCAGCGTCGATTTGTGATTGAACGCCTTCGGACACAGGTCACAATTGAAAGGTCGGGCGTCTGAATGGACTTTCAAGTGAGATTTGAGATCCTGTTTTTTCAAGAAAACCTTGGCACATACATGACAGACCAGAGAAACCGAAGGACCAGAGGACTTTCGACCACGTTTAGGTTTACTTGGATTTTGAACAACATCATTAGGGTTGAACTCATATTTATCGTCTATCAATGGGTCAACAAGGTGTGCAGACTGTCCATTTGCTTGGTGGTATGATCCACCGTTAACATTGAATACGTTTTCTTGTCCTATCGAGCTCCCCACAGAAAGATTACAAACTTGGCTTGTGCTATCATCCCCGTCATATTCCTCATAGGACAAATCGTGCGTTTCCATATCTTCTTCATCCTCTTTCCGTGCTTCATTGGTGATGTTATTCTTATCGGGCGCATTTGTCATTGCAGAGTCATGGGGCGTGACATTTACGTCGCCTTGGATATGGACCATGCCGCCTGGATTCGTATTTGCTAAAGTCAAAGATGAGTCTGCATTGTTGTTAAAGGGAACATCAGTCGGTAGATGTTCTATGTTAGAGTCATTGCATCGACTTTCACTGGGATTCATGAGCTCTCTGTGAAGACCATGCTTAAGAAGGACGTGTTGATATAAAGAGTTTTTATCAGAAAAAGTGGCATCACATAATGGATAACGACAGGAGCACCTGCTACTGGTATCAGTGTGGGTGGACGCATGTCTGTTGAGGCTGTTGATGTGACTGAAACGTCGTTTACATATTTGACATTGATACGGCTGTTCCCCTGTGTGAGTTCTGATGTGTTTCTTCATATTGAAACTGTAACTGAATGTTTTCCCACAGATTTCACACTTGAACGGTTTCTCACCAGTATGCACACGCATGTGGGATTTGAGGTAGTACTTTTTCTTGAAGGATTTTCCGCATTCCTGACACACATGCATATCTGATTCTGGTGTTTGCTCACTTTTATCTACGTTCCTGTTCTGAACGTCAACAACTTCTCTGAACCGTGCGACCTTTTCGGTTACCAAAGGTCTTGACGGGGTTGGAATCTTCTCATTAAATGGTACTTCCAAGCCTTCATTTTCCTGCATGCTTCTCATAAATCCAAATTGCTGTGCCTCAATGTAGGAATTCAGGAGATAGGCGGACATCACCATGCTAGGGTCCATCATAGGCATTGTTGGTAGTTGAAATGGTGGCAACCCCAGACCTTTCGGCATTTGCCAAGGCATGAACGTGTTTCCTGCATTGAAATGCTCCATATTTCTCTTGCCTTCATAATGTTGCATTTCTTCAACATACTTGTGCGACTGACTGTATGTAGCCTCGTTAAATTTGCTTAATGGTTCCTCCGGATTATCACTTTGATCCTCACTTTCGTTTGAAACATCTGCCTTTTCGTCATGCTGCTTTTCATATAAATGTTCTTTGGTAGTTATGTTTGGAGAATAACCATTGAAGTCTTGAAATCCTTCGGACGACATTGATTTATCCACACAAATTCGCTTCGTCGAACGAACTTCTTCAGAGTGTGCATGTGTGTCATTGTATAGTAAAGTCTTGGTTACAGATGTCTGTAATTTCTCATTCTGCAAAGAAGTTAAATGTTCTTCAAAATCGTCCTGTGTGTATTCATTATCGTAGATACCGTGTATTTTAGACATGTGTATCTGCAGGGCGAAGTTGTGGGCAAAGAATTTGTCACAAAATTTGCACTTGAAAGGTGACTGTCCGACGTGTAAATACATATGTCGATTAAGACTGTTCTTTTGAGCGAACTTCCGCTGGCACTGAGGACATTCATATGGACGCTCCCCGGTATGAATTCGAACATGCTTTGTCAGATTAAAGCTGTGAGTAAATCCCCTCCCACATGTCTGACATTTGAATGGCTTATCACCAAAATGGACTCGCATGTGGGATTCAAGGTAGTATTTTATTGGAAATGATTTCTCACACTGTCCACACACGAACGGCTTTCCTTCTTTGTGTTCTTTGATATGGTCTTGCTGTTCAATCTTTAAATCAAATGTTCTTGGACAGATGCTGCATTCATAGACTTGGTCAGTGTGTGTTTGGATGTGTGCTTTGAATATGTCCTTTTCTGCGAACATCCTGTAGCAGAACTCACAGAAGTCTGTCTTGTCTTTAAAGTGTATTAACAGATGTTTGTTGAGGGCCGAAGTTGACGAGAATTCATCCCCACAGTAAGGACATTTACTCGATTCCATAACGTCTTCCATCTCGTCAGCACTCTGCGACGTTTGAGAAGCATTTTCTCCAAAACCCAGATGCATCATATCCACAGGTGAAGGAGACAAACTTTCTTGATGATACTCTTTTGAATGATATAGCAAATGCAAACGATCATCAAATGTCATTGGGCACTTTTTGCACTTGAGTGTTCTCTCTTGAGGTTCACAGCTCATCTTCATGCCTATTGTACTTTCATGGTATTCAATCTCTTCCGGTTCAATTTTTTGTGGTAAAGCCTGTCTTGACATGTTTTCTGACATCTGCATGTTGAACTTGTTTGTAGACAAATCTAAAGCGCAGTCCGAGTCTACTTGTGTATCAACATCTTCATTCCATGTGTTCCTACTGTAGTTAGAAACATCTTCAACAGGTTCTTGTTTTATTGAAAAATCAAGTGCAACTGAACATGTTTTCATACTTAGATCTAATGCAGTTTCATCCATGAAGCAACCACTCCTCTCCTCATCCGAGATATGTCTCATTCCCTCAGGAGAGGCAGTCGCTGGTTGATGATTGATATAGGTTCCAGACTTCATAGACAAGTTCATACCTTGATCAATACAACTGTCTAAAATAAGCTTTGAATCTGAAAGACCACTTTCCCTATGTTCTCTTTTATACAGTGATATACCAGGCTGAAAAAAGTCTTTCTTGTGTGAGGCATCAGTTGTTTGATCCATAAGATTGTTAATTCTAAATTGATCTTGGAAATAGATTTTTTGTGACTGAGCAATGTTCCATGAGTCATTCAGATCAGAGTCTATTCCTATGGTGGAATCTACTGATTCGTCATCACTTTTGAAATCTTGGTTATAAACATTGTCATGCTTCTTCATGTGTCTGTTAAGGCTACTCTTCAACGTGTAACTTCTGTGACATATGTCACATTCAAACGCTGGTGTTTTGTTTACAATTGAGGCTTCAAATGCCGAAACGTGAGACTGCATATGTATGAGGAAACCTCGCTTGTCGTTGAATTCCCTGTTACATGTCTGGCATTTGTTTTCTCCGTCTGTTGTGTGTGTGATCAGATGCTTTCTCAGACTTTGCTTGTCGTAGAAATCCTTGTCACAAATTTTGCATTTCTGGTGTGAAAACCCTGTATGGAGTGTCACATGTCGATTCAAACTGTTCTTGTGACTAAACTTTTTCCCACAGAAGTTACACGAGTATGGCTTTTCCCCGGTATGTGTCCTACGATGCTTTGTTAAATTAAAGCTGAAATGAAACCCACGATTGCAAATGTCACAAGTGAACTGCTTTTCATCAGAATGAGTTCTTGTATGATATTTCAAATGCCCTTTCTCATGAAATCCTTTTCCACACTGATCACAAACATATGGTAGGTTTTTTGGATTTGCGGTTTGATGCATTTCAGGTTGAATAGCGCTTGAATCTTCATTATACAAAACTGAATTCCCTTTTGCTGATGGTTCCTGACAGAGACTTGTTTCTTGACAATTAGAATCATGTTCATGGATAGTTGAGTTTTTCTGATCGTCATCACCTTTTTCACAAAAAGGGATTGGCATGTCACTGAGTCCACTCAACCCTGTTTGTTGAGCACTTAATACTTTGCCTTCATCCATTTCATCCTCACTGCTCATTTCCTCTTCACTGTCTTCACGATCATCATGTGAATGTTTTGCAGCAAACCTAGTATCAGCTTCATGACCATCAGTAGAGTTGATCCTTGTAGCACCACTGTCAGTCTGCTGTACTGTATCACCATCAGTAGAGTTGATCCTTGTAGCACCACTGCCAGTCTGCTGTACTGTATCACCATCAGGTGATGCTATACACTCGGACCTCTTGTTATCCTTCTCAGCTGTCTTGGACTTAATGCTTTCACGTGAAAATGAAGTAATTGATTTGGAGCTGCAGTCATAGGATAAAGGGTTCTCCATATCAAACCTACTTCTTTGTTGGATCGAGGATGGATTACTATCGAGACATGCAGTTTCTCCCTGCTGACTTCCGAAATCTTCAGCATCAGCCATGTTGGAAGTGGCATCAAAAACCTCCCCTTAGATACACAGCAATGTGTCCAAGGGAAAAATCTGAAAATATATGACATAATGATTTAGAGTTAACTGGTATACACTGTAGGTATCCTACTGTGAATTGGAATGTAAGTACATGTACTTGTAGCTAAATGTATACCTTCATAACATGGCAACAAATGGTTTGTCTCAGAATAGCAGACCTAACTATTTTAATATCGTTAAACAAAGAAATGTTCTTATAAAGTTCCATTAGTTGGTAAAAATACCACAAGTAAAAGTAGACATGCCTGGAGTTGTGCAAGTGTTTTTATTGATAAATTATTTATATTAAATAATATTCAATGATGAGTCTGACAGTAACATTTAAACCTGATTTAATATTATAACCAACAAAAGACTTTTCTCAGAAAGTATTATCCTACATTAATACCTTGTCCTTGTTTAGTAAAATATTAGTTGATCATTTCCTATAATCATGCATTTACAACTAGAAATTTGTTTTTGTTCACAAAAACATAAACATACATTTGTATGTCTCTCATCATTAGCCAATATGCATATTTGGAAGAATATAAAAAGGTCACATCAAGATTAAGGCGTGTAAATTCTAAACCATTAAACTTTTAAATTGTCCTGGTTCATGTTAAATTGTCTTAACAATTTTGGTTAAGTTTTGGCAGCTACGGTACTATAGACACATTTACATGTATATAAAGATAGGAATTACCACACATCTGATTACAATCTGGTTCTTCTATATATTTGCTTATTATTTTGTTTATAAAGTTAAACTTTGTGCATTTATATCATTTAATGTATACAACAAAACATATTCACTCTGTACTATATTTACAATGTAGGAGAAATAACATGGAACTTGTGCTGAGGACAAACTTCGGAATGAAAAATTAGCAAAGGGCCATATCTCTTTATATAGTGGGGCACAAGACCCGATTTTAGAATGTGACACTCCTACTTCCCAAGATACATAACTATAGCAAGTTTGGTCAACGTAGGTGAAATAACATGAAAGTTATGTTGTGCCCAAACTTTGATATAAAAAATGAACAAAGAGCCATAACTCTATTTATAGTGAGGCACAAAACCCGATTTCAGTGCGAGAGAGTTTGCCTTCCCAAGATACATAAATATGGAAAGTTTGGTCAACATAGGTGAAATAACATGGAACTTATGCTCCTGACAAACTTCAGTATTAAAAATAAACAAAGGGCCATAACTCTGTATATAGTGGGGCACAAGACCTAATTCAAGTGCACTGCACACCTTCTGAGGGTGATGCAGGCATACCTCAAGTTTCATCAAGATATATTCAATCGTTTAAAATTGATGGCCCGGACAAGTTGTGATTAGTAGAACCAAAAGAAGAAGAACCAGTATTAATACAATATGTCTCCCTTCATTCGAAGGCAAGACATGATAAAGTACTGTTGCTTTCTCTACTTGGCCTCTGGCAAAAAAATAATTATTATATTTTATCTATGCTTTAAGAAACTCCACACATATACAACAATAGCTTTCACATCTGACACATTTTTATCATCCCTAAGAGTTTAATCCTTATAAATATCATTTACATTAGTGAGCTTTTGCACTAAAGACTTTTTGTGTTCAATAACACCTTTCTATTGTACATATGTTGGACTTCTTGTATTTGAGATAGGGGCCTAAACACAAAGCCAAGATGACACAGATGGATGGATGTACATAAAGATGGACGTTCACACCAACAGATTATATACCCCTAAACTATGTAATGTTAGGACTGATGCTGACAAACAGTATCTAGTCAAAACCTATTTATAGAATGTCACTTGGAAGAATTTGTAATTAGAAAATATACCTGTAGGCAATGTTTACAGAAAACAGACATATATATAATGAACACACATATTTAAGATCTCAAGGGTACATATAATTGTATGATCTAGTTTAGTACCCACAATACTGCAATAATGCCAGTGGGCCAACACCTTAACTCTAACTAAAGGTAGGAGTGGGCTTATTACAGGTCACTGAAATAACAGTTGTTGGCATATTTACTGAGCTGCAATATGTGGGTTAGGTAATTACTAATTACCCGACATGTGCTTATACAAATGTAGTTTGATAAATATGGTAATTATACATATATAATGCATACATAAACTTTCCTTCAGTAAATGAATTTTTAGAACATTTACATTAATCTATAGTTAGCTATGTAGGTGAATTAGTTCTAAAATAAGTATATCATAAAAATAATCTTTTTAGGGTTTAAATGTTTACATATATTTCAAATCAGAGATTAAAGGAAAATGTTAATACAGTTACCGAATCATCCTGGTTTATTGAATTATATAACTTGTTCACACAATGTGGAGATAATTTTCCTCAAATGTTTTATTTTCAAAGTTTGTTCTGTAAAATGCAAGTAATCCATATTGTGCAACCTCAGAACAAACTTTGGTATCAATGAGTAAAAGTTTATACAATACTGTACATGTACATAAAGGAGGCAAGACTGGATTTCAGTATGCAACACTCCCCATCCCAAGATGGAAATTGCATACAAAAATTGCCAATTACATAAAATCCCTCCAACGTGTTTACATGTGCAGGTATATATACTGAACAACACAAACATGCCCTTTTTCATTTTCTTGTCTTTAGATATTACTTCTGAAATCTTTAAAAAGATTCACCAGTTTGGTATGTTGATGTTACTTCTGAATATACTTTATAATACCATGCCCACTGTATACTTTTATTTAAATTTTTGACATGAAAAAGGTGAGCAAAAAGTGATTTCCCTTAATTATAATTTACCAGGCTCCATTTCGAAGATATTGTTTTTATTGAATAGATGTGCAATAAATTGTATATAAATGATTATGCAAAATTATGTTGCAAAAAATTAATACTGTATGTAAGAAGACAGTGCAGGTGGTGTAATTAACTTACCTTCAGGTTACTTCACTCATTAGCATATTACAACACGCTACAGCATACTACAGCGTCGCTTTCTGTACACCAAGCCTACACCTGCAATCAATACATATCAATTAGTAACTAATTGAGAGCTCAAAGGTAACATTGATAACGATACTTCACAAAGTTATATAACTAACCTTCCTATAGGTCAAAGCTGTTAGCTATATTAATATAATCCCATTTTTAAATTGTAGAAGAGTTACTTGTTTTGTACATGTATATCCAATAAGCTGTAAAACATATGAAACAAATTGAATTTAATGCTAAATAAAATGTAGATAAGAGGAATATTAAAGATTAATAAAATATTTCACCCTATTGGGAGTTAGATGGGAAAATTGATATCTCAACCCTAGGGAGTAATATTGCTAAATTGTCAAACCTGAGACTTGCTTAAGGTTTGACATTTCAAGAGTTTTAAATATAACTCTTGAAGGTTGAAATTCACATTAACTTAATTGTTCTAAAGAAAATGTTTGATTTTTCTCTCATCTATCATGACAGTGGGAAATGGTTATTTTCTCCCACCCATATTTTACAGTTATTCAGAGTCAGGGCTTTCAATGAATTTGGATTTAAAGCTATACTTTAGAAGTCAAATATTTTTTGTCTCTGAAAAAAATTGGAGCATTAAAAAGTCATGTCTAATCATTGTTTTACACAGTAAGAACTTTCATTGAATTGGAATTTATAACTTTACTTAAATTTGTTAAGGCAAAAAAAAATGTTAGCAATAAAAAAACCCATTTATGCCTTACATATAATACTGACAGACACAAATATGTCATTTCAAGCCCAAGAATCCTAGCTACTTTTGTGTTGTCAAAAACATAATCAAATGTGTCTGTTGACATCCTATACACTGTACTCATAGTGATACCCGGCCGACGCAACATCTTATATAGATTGTCTCATCAGCAGAAGCATTGTTATTGCAACTGAGAGATGTTGTTGATTTCTGAAAAAAACGAATTGACTCCAAAGTTCAAAGGACATATGTGTATGTATGTCTTACTGAAAATTATTAGTGAGATACATGGATTTTGACCTTCCAAATTTTAAGTTAAAATCTTACCATCTGGCATGGTATTATCAATGACTCAAAAATACTTAACACTAAACATCGATAGAAAGACCTGTTTACAGTGATGTACATATCAAGTCTATGATTCACTTATTTTGAATTTTTACATATTTTATGTAGGTCACAATCTTCAGATGGGACCTTCACAATTAGACCCACATACAAACACATTTTTGACAAGTTGAGTGATCATTTTAGGGTTAAATTAAATTTCAATCATCACATGAAAATACCAGTAGAAAAACCTCAATCAAATGTTTGCTTTAATAATATATATATTTATACAAGGCACCAATATTTGTCATTAAATAAACATTACAATTAGTGTATTGTTCAGTAGAGTTTCAATTCTTTTTATTGTACAATAGGTGTGATTATTTGAATTATTTGAATACAAATCTTAAACACAGTATCCAAGTTTAAGTTTATTGGTTTTCCTCAGATAAATTAATATGTACAACATGAGGTATCAGAGTATAATAATACACATGTGATGACAAACTGGATGGCAAGATCACAAAACAGTAATCATGATACATATTACAGCAGTTTTATAATTTTTTCCAACAAAAAACAAATTCCATTAAATACTGTCGTGTTACAAAATGACAACAGACCACTCATTTTAATTTGAGACAGATTTTTTCTATAATACAGAGGTATATATTTTTCTCTAAGCTCTACAATTATTAAATTTGTACATTTGAATAAATAGTGAAATTTGTCGCCTATCTCACTTTTACATAGAGTGCATTTTCGGTCTTGTTTTTGGATATTATGCCACCTACCGTTTCAATGGGAAATTTCATATTAGAACATCTAAATTTGCATAATATTGATCTGGTTTTTTTCCAGAAAGGCGAGTCAAATAAGGCTCAAGTACAGTTATGACATACAATGTATATAAATTATAATTTGATACTAAATTTGAAAAATATTATTACCAAATAAACTGTAATGATGAGATCCTACCTTGGGTTTTACTGGAATTCCCTTACTAGCATAAATCCTGTCTACATTCAACTCTGATCAACAAATACTACTGTTACTGTAGGCTAGGTACATTGCATTAAATATAATTATGTACATGTATGATATTGACAGTGTATATTAAAGTGTCTGTAGATATCAACTAATATATGCATTTATGTGCTTAAGTCTCTTTCAAGTGCTCATCTGAGTAGTTTTAATCGTAAATTATATTGGTCATTAAACTAGAAAATGCCTTTGTTGATTATGATGACAATAAACCCAGTGTCAGGTGTGCTCAGGTGAGGGATTCACACCTGTATACACCTGAGTAACTCTTGACACCTGGTCAGCCCAATATCACATTGTTTATTCAATTGGACATGCTAATTAGAAATCCTAAGACGTAAACACCTATCAATCAATATCTTTACACAGGTAAATAATAGCTTACTTTATATACAGCCAGGTATAACTACCTCATAAAAATATTTCATATCCATTAAGTAAAGTTAATAGTTTGTCTACACAAACAATTTGAATCAATACATTACAACATAAGGTGTTTTTTTTTCTGTTCATATAATTATTTATCAGCAAATGAAATAGAAAAAAAAACATTTTATAAAGAAAATCAATAAAGAAAGATAACATTAATTACTTTTTCGTCCATTTACCCGATATGTTAAAATTGTTTGCGATTTGGACACAAAATAAATGGATTTGGACACAAAATAAATGGATTTGGACACAAAATAAATGAACAATTAACGTTAACATCAACAATTGATACTGGTTCATGATATTTTTAATAAAGCTTGTATTAGACTATACATATTGAGAATATCATTAATTCAAACATATATACATATTTTCCATATAAATGTCCATCTATTTCAATACGTAATTAATTATTGATAATTTTGTAAATATATCTTATCATTCTTTGAAAATGTACATATGTTGTACCATTTCAGGAGAAGACTAATATAGGCACTGCCTTTTGTCTAATCCTTTTGTAAATACAATAAAATTTGTTGCAACCAAAATACCACATATATACTTAAATAACTTTTAACGCACTGTTTGAATTCAAAGAATGGACGAAGTCGAAGAATGATTTACTATAGTAAATCGTTTCCAATATTGGGTAATAACAAATGGTATCTCATTGTACAATTTACTACTTTTATTACAAACATGGAGCTGAGATAGAACATTTGTGATCAATCTTACTGTATATGAGTAATTGACATCATAAATGTGGACCATGATGTCTACCTGAAAAGATTTTTCTGTGCAGAAAACATATGTAAACACATGTAAGTTTTTACACCTATATTTATACTGAACTGAATTTGTCTAAAAGACTTGTCCATCGATAGCCATCTGACTCTGGTCTTTGTTCCTGATAACAACACTATTTGCAACTTCAGTATTGGCAAGAGCACAAATATCCCACACATTTACAGTACTTTGAAAAGTTTTGACCACAGGTGGTACTGCAACAGTAATGGAAAAAAGCAACATGACAACATTGGGAATTGAACCTGGAGACTCTAAACTCTGGACTAGCTCCAACCAAAAGAGGAAAAGTCAGGGTACAGGCCATTCTTTTACAAATGTCACCCTGGTAAAATACTAGCCTACATTGTACTAGCCGCTTCTTACTGACTCGGCTAGGGAGAATTTCTCTTTAGCTCATTCGGTAGAGCATAAGACTAGTAAGCTAGAGATCCCCGGTTTGATTCCTAGCGGAGGCATTGAACAAATAATGACCTCTGTAACTCTGTTACACAAATGTAATAAAAAAAACAAGTGATTGGTTTATTTTCACATTATTATTAAGTTACACATACAGTTATAATGTCAAACAAAAATAGATTTGTTTCAGGCAACATACCTGAAAAATAAAGGTAGGTCCGTAGCAGGGACGTATACTGTCCCTGGTCCGTAGGCAAATAAATTTAATTTTAAGGTTATAATGCGTGTTTCATAAATAAGGTTAATATCATGCTTTATTACAAATCTTAAAATGCATTTCCACACATTACAATGGCTGTTCTAATTTGTCAAGAATAAGGTCAGACTCTCATAACAGGAGGAAAGTACATTTTTAAGAATGGCTGTGAAATTTGACAGGTTAATGAATTAACCTTAGATACAAATAGGTCATGATAAAATATCTGTGGTCAGCAGTAAAAACTAGGGTACTTGGTCACATGTGCGTTTTATGTATCCTGTGACGGGATACATAAAATGCACATGTTTATTTTTGCCCAAGACAACAGACTTGTCCCAGGGGAGGCTTGTCATTTTTCCATTTAGTCTGTGCTGTTGATCCATATTTAACTTAAATGTAAATTATAAAAAAAATTATAAGTATGCAGCAGAGAACTAGCCTGTGTTTGTTGTAGATTTTGAGAGCAACTACTTTTCACAAGTTAAGTTGAAATTCTTAGTTGAACAATTGAAAGAGAAGGCTACAGCTTAGTCCGAATTTCCATTGGCCCTGACACCAGGTCTAAGTCTAGATCTGGTGTCGGGGCAAGAGGAAACTTGCGCTAGCTATAGCTACCAATTCCTGCATACATAAAATCTCTGCTTGACCAAATGAATAAACTAAAGATGAACGTTTTGCATGCCGCTGTCCATTTGTAGTATAGTCGCATTGGTGTGAAAATGGAAAAGTGTGCAAATTTCAAAATAAATTAGTACCTTGGTGCTATCACAAATTGCAATTAACAAAAAAATCAATTTCCAAGTGAATTGGTTTTTAATTATTTTCTTAAATTCATTTAATGCTTTGCGAATATCTGTAGCAATTGCTGCTTTTGAGTGTAGTCGTCTACGTATTACGTAAATATAAGCTTAACTGAAATTTACACAATAATAAAAAAGGAACACAAATATTGACTAAGAATCTTAATAAAAAAAAATACAGAAAAAAATTTGAAATAGAAAATGAGACCAAAATCACAAAAAAATGATGGTCTGAATATTTAACAATTTATTTCTAAATCCCTGTGCAAAACATCTGCTTAACTGGTGTCACATTAGTACTAATATTAATACCCGGCCGGCGCAATATATAAAAAAAAAATTCTCGTAGTCAGAAAGCTACGTTATCGCAGCTAGTGTCACATGTGTTTACTCACAGGTGTTTGAAAATCTGGCTGTAAATTGAGATAAAAATCTTATAAAAAAATAATGGTATTACTTTAAAAAAAAAAAAGTTGCAATACCCTTATTTTTGTATATGATTTTAATCTAAATTTACAGTCAGAATTTCAAACACCTGTGCCGTGGTTTACTGAAACGGCGAAGTCGTATGTAACTTGTAAGTCGCTTTACCTTTTTAATGTTGTTATTGTGCACAGTAGAGCATGGATATACAGTCTGTGACGTCATTACACGAATGAAGTAATATGGACATAACAATGACAAAACATACTCACCAAATTAAAGTATTACTGCATCTTGCAACTTTACACAATTTTCTTTTGTTTGCCAACCGGAAGTTTACAACGATACACCAATAAAAGAAATATACAGTTCCATATTTCCGGAAATGGGAACGACCCACGGCCGATAATATTTATAGTTTTTGTTATTATTGATGATTTAGTTTTGTATGTGTTGACTTGTGTAGGGGGAAACGACAACAAAAAAAGAGAGATGATGGGAAATGGAAATCTTTTTTGGAGAAAAACAACGATGATGGAAAAATCAGGGGAGATCACTGAATTTCGACTTCCGTTAGTTGGACACGTCTACTTCCTGTTGAGTCGGCATCGGAAAATTTTGAAGGTTGGGTGATAATTATATCGTAAACACGTTTGTAGTTTCAAAAATCTCTTGAGATGTAACTATGATTACTTGTGAGTGGTCAACTAGAACCTTTTCATACAGGTTCTTGGTGGACACTGTGGTCTACGAGTTCCCATGGCCAGGTGAGAATTGTTGACAAGTTGGAAACTTGAAAAATCATGAAGATATTAGCTACAGTCACAGTGTAATTTATGGTTTTGTAGAACTTGAAATCAGTATATAACAAGACTCACATATATGAGCTTGAATGGGAACTTGTTACTGGCAACCGACTGTGTCTAGTCCACAAGTGGAATATAATTTACCATAACGTACATGTCATAGACTGATAGATGCAACTGATCAGCTGATCAGGTTGGCATAAACATCAACATTGATGGAGCCCACGTAAAATAAAGTAGAAGAAGAAGGTTGGGCACAGCGGCGCATATGCCATGATATGGGCGGTCTCCCCTAGAAGCGTCTTCAAGTGACAAGAAGCGTATTCAAGTGACAACAAGCGTTGCCAGACAAAATCTTTAAAAATACTGAATAAAGTAAGCGACATCAGAAGATATGTTATTAATATGACTATAATACACCTCTGTACCAAATTTCACTTAGATATATGAAAAAACGAGTTATCATGATTTTTTTTTTAATGTGTACGTAGGGTAGCTAATAAGGGCTTCGCATAGGTGAACACAGTTAGATAATATTGCTTTATAAACACTGATACCCCTTCAATCAGCTGTATCAAGAATAATATTATTGTATTTATTGAACAATTTATATTTTAACTGTAACCGATTTAGAATACATATACATATAAAATATATTATTTTATTATAACTAATTTAGAGGGAGGGGGATGGGGATGCATAACTTTTGAGTTTCTCCTGACTTTTTGAGAAAGATTGTGGCCCTGAAAACGGCCGTTTAAGCAGGCGACTAGCACAGTCTTTGACAGAACAATGCTAGTCAAACCTGATTTTGTCTGGCGACGCTTGTTGTCACTTGAAGACACTTGTTGTCGGTTTTAGACGCTTTTAAGGGAGACCCAATGGGTAATGCTCCTGCATTCGGGTAACAGTTAACCATTTCAGTAATAATTTTATTACTGAAATGGGTAATAAAGAGAAATAAAAACACACAAAGTTCTTTTACACATTATGAACAAAAAAGGGCATCATTCTTTCAACATAATCAAATAAAAAATACAATGAGGTACAATGAGGTACAAAAATATGTAAATTCAGTTGTATCACTTCCGTTGCTAATAGTGTGTTGTAGAGTAGCTATAAATAGCACACATAAACAAAAATATGCTCACCTGTCACATTTGCACTGGATAGTCCCATTGACTACACACTGAAGTCAATGGAGAACACAGTCAGTGATATGGTTTGTCCTTTTAACAAAAAGTTAGACATCAGAATTGATAAAATTTTGTGCACAAATGTACTTCATTGTGTTATTTATTTGATTAAGTTGACAGAATGACACCCTTTTTTGCTTCCAAGTGTTTAAGATAACTTTGTGTGTTTTTATTTCACTTTATTCCCCATTTCAGTAATAAAATTGTTACTCAAATGGGTAACTATTACCCAAATGCAGGATTATTACCCATATGCGCTGTTGTGCCCAACCTGCTGTTGTTAAACAATTTGAAATAATACTGGACAGTGGACAATCATTGGAAACGAGAAAAACTAATATTCTCTACTAGTTAATCGAATTGAATATTGGTTAAACGTAAAAATGCAATGTACACCAGAAGTATAAACAAATCATTATTGTATATAATTAATTGATATGGATATAGAGACTCACAGCCTGCATACATTATTTTCGTATTAAATTAAATATACCTGTAAGTGCACCCACGTCTATATCATGACTTTGTAATCCAATCGCAGATCGCTATAGGCCTATATAGTCTATACTGTTACGCGTCAGTGATTTTAAAACAATTTAATAATACAAAATGAAAAACAACAATCTGATTAAAATCATATGTTACATGGCTTCGTTAACGAATTGTACAACGCCTGAACAGATGTTCAGGCGGAGCCATGTAACAGATGATTTTAATCAGATTGGAAAAACAATATTTTTAGGATATATTTAATATTACTGCTCTGACGTCTACCTCACTGTGGAAATATCTTATTTAAATTTTTGATTGATTAAATACAATGTAATTAATACATACATTTAAATAGTACTTGTTTTGATATAAATTGTAATACAGTAAAATTCTCTAAATGTCGTAGAAGATTCTCATATACAACCTAACTTCCACTAGATGCATGAAAATAGTGTACCTTGGCCTGGCCCAGCTCTCAAAATAAAGGGTTCAAAATCCACTTTAAATAATAACACTAGCTATGATACAGTAATTAATAATGGCACTAATTATAAGTTAGTTTCATATTCAATAACAATAATATTATTATTTTTTTGGTTATATATAAAAAATATATAATTATTGTTAGGAATAATGTTGCTTTTTATTTTAAAGAGACTTAATACCATCTGGAAACAATGCCCAATTTTAGTAACTGTTGTATCCTTAGTCATTAATATGAGAAAGGCAATTCCCAGACACAAATTAAATTATCATTTAAAGCAGATTATGACGTTCATTTGTTTAAACAAAAATTGAAATAATTTTCTCAAATAGTCAAAAGCCACTTTAATCAGTTTTATTTCAAGTAGTCGTAGACTAATGGTATGACGTCTACAACAGCGGTGACTTATTTAATATACATTGTAGTTGTACAAATCTTGTGGTCAAAGTCTAAGGTTATAATGACCAGTGGGTAAGATAAGCTGTTACAGATCAATTCAACTTATACAGAACCAAAGATAAAATTAATAATGAATATGCTACAGAGCTATTGTACATGTACATGTACCAGCTTTATTAAAGAGGCCTGTTCATGATATTGACCCTTTATCAATTTACAGTAAATTAACAAAACGTTAAAGCTTTTTTTTTTTTTTGAAGAAGAAGAAGAAGAAGAAGGATAAGACATGATAAATTGATAGTTGTTATTTTTTACAGACTATATATAGTAGATGATTTCATTAATATGTAAGTAATAAATGTAATTATTCATTGTAACTGCACTTTGTAACTATGTATATATACAATGTATAAAGCTTACAGAATGATGGTGAGGTACATGTAATCTTAAAAGTTTATTACATGTAACAGCTATGGATCTGTTTGTCCCATTACTGAATAAGCTTAGGATATATAGTTACCTAGGTTTAATTTGATTGGCCAGGATAGTTACCTAGGTTTAATTTGATTGGCCAGGATTGTTCACCCAAAAAATATTCTTTATTGAACATGCAGTGTCAAACTATATAAACTATTTAGCATACATTTACCTATAAAATAATAATAATAAACATTTTTATATTTTGGCATTTTGAAATGTAACAAACGAGATAATTACAAAATTAAGAAGTTATAACACAAGCTGTATTTTTATATTATAAGTATTTAAATGGAGCGAACAGATCCATATGGCGTGCACATACAAATACAACAAATAGGAATCATACATAAACCTTTGCATGCATGTGTACATGTGGTAGACATTTCATTGTGTGTTTTTATATGTGTGACCTGTCAAAGCAAGAGTTAAATGGGTTTTAAATGATGTATGGGTACCATGTTAAACTGTCTTGATTTCCAGAAAATGGCCATACTTAATGCTTTGGTGGTCTTGAAACAATCACTAACTATATCATTAAAACTAATATCATCTTCTGTTGAGGAGCTAAGCATGTTTCGGGCATTTCACACTTGGGAGCTTAAAGCTAGAACCATAATTACTAATCATACAGATCCAACTTGGCTTAAACATTATTTTTAGAAGTTTCTGAACCCTATTTAAAGAAACCTGCAAATGACCGTCAGGTTGTGTTTTGATCATTGGTTAGAGGACCAGAGGATCACAAGAGGATCATAAGAACACAAGATATAAAAATACAGTGTAATTGAAAATGTATTTTTTTGAAAATTGTAACAGTGAAGAAAATACAGTGAAACAATTTTGAAAAAGATTAAATAACATTATCGAATGTACAAAAAGTACTATAATTATATATATTTCTTGCATCCTTTTTAAGTTTTTATTTGTCAGCATACAAATATATAGTATGTCTAGAATGTATTTCTGTGGCAATAAAAATAATAAAAAGGCCAATAGGAGTCTTTTTCACTTTTGTATATAAATAAAATTTATTATGCATCACTGTTTATAATCTCAACATAGAAGCATACATGTATAGTCAATTAAAACCCCAAGATCTAGACAAATAAATAGTCTCTAATATTGATTTTGATATTGACTCTCTGCATTTAATCAATTTTGAATTTATTTCAGAATCACCCTCAATCTCCCCAATGCTGTAACATTACAATGGACCAGAATCCAACACAGCTTCTCTGCGCGGCAAATCACTGCCGCTGTCTTCTGCTGCATTCTTCTGGGAGTGCTCCTGTTTGCTTTTATGGAAATGTATCTAGTTGGTTCTACAGGGTATCACAGCAGCACAGACACACACGGGTCTCATCGGTCAGTCCCCACAGGTGACCCCCATCCTGTCCTAGGGCCTGGCGTCAGATATGGTATTGTGATAGACTGTGGCAGCAGCGGAAGTCGTATTTATGTTTATTTTTGGCCGCCTCATTCTGGAAACGCCAGGGATTTGCTTAACATTCAACAATTAATGGGACAAGATGGGAAACCTGTGGTGAAGAAAATCACACCAGGTATGATCTGTTGTATTTAATAACTTTAAATGTTACAAAACATCCAGTATCTGATTCAACCACTTTGTTAATACAAATGCATTATAACTATTGCACTCAATTATCTGTAACTAAATCGGTTTAAATGGGTTAGATAAGTGGTAAAATTCAAGTTATGGAATGCATTTGTTTAGTGTTTATTGCCATCACCACAATATCATCAAATAGAAAAATCAAAGTATGAAATATTTAATTATTTTGGAGAATATATATATATAGTGTTGAATATGACTGAAAAAGATCCTCACAATATTATTGGAAGTTTTGTTATAATGTGCATGCATGCCAGGAATGTGATTTTACGAGTACGTAATAATTTCTTAATTCAAATACCTAAAGAGCATTATAACTGAATTCAGCCCCTTTGTGACTTCTAAATGAATTTTTATTTTCGAGTAAGACTAAACATATCTAGCAAAGCCTTTAATTATTTTTGGATTCAGGCCTTGATAAGTTTGAAAATAACCCTGGAGCAGCAAGTGAGTACATCCGCCCATTACTGAAGTTTGCAGCCTCTTACATCCCTAAAGAACAGCAGAAAGAGGCTTTACTTTTTATTCTTGCCACTGCTGGTATGCGCATGATCTCATCTACGTAAGTTTGACACAAAAGTCTCATTTTGTACATAAAAGTTTTACAGTTAAGATAAAGAATTTGGTCAATGTACATGAACTGTACAAGTTTGTGTGAGTCTCAAATAGAATTTACATTTACCAGCTGGTAAATAAAATATTTTTGATCTTGGAAAAATTCAGCATTATTTTGACAACACATCTTAACTATACCATATGCTTGATCTGAAAAAAAGTGTTTTTTATCATTTGAACACATTTACATGTGGATTAAAGAGAGTTTGAAACAACAGGTGTGATATATGATACAAATGTAATAGTTATAAATGGGTTTGAAAATAAACCATTCCATTATATAATGGTGTATATATCTGTGAAACAAGAGTTCCTGGTAAATGTAGTTATTACTAAATGACATTTTATATTTACTCCCGGAAACAAGTTTGAGGGGGCAATACCAAGAAGTTTCCTTTTACAGAGCACAGAAAGCAATATTTAATGATCTCAAGACTGACATTGCCAAGGAGTTTCCCTTTGTGATATCAGACAGTAATTTAGAAGTGATCAGTGGGAAGCTGGAGGGTGTTTATGCCTGGATAGCTGTTAATTATGCATTACGCAAATTTGACCATGGAGAGGAAGGTAATCAGCATTTGCTTGATTTTCTGTATTAAGAAAAACATCATAACTTACCATAATAATGTACAACTATTTAATTTTCTTTCTCACCAAACATTCTCAACAATGTTCTGTCATTTTCACCATATATATTTTCAAGTTCTTTCTCACCAAATAAAGTACAATTTTCTTTCTCTTCAAAAATTAATTGTGTACTATATTTTTCACACATGCAATCATATAAAATGCTTTTTCCACCAACTCGTATTCTATGTTCTTTCTCATCAAGTCTTCAAATTTGCCTTTAATTAAGACAATAATCAGAAAGAGTAGAATCAATGTATTCTTTTTAAAGAACGTTTTAATTGTGTTGTTTGAAATCCTCAGTAAGATTTCTCTTTGTCACTCTCAGAGCACCCGTTGGTGGCTGTTGAGGTGCCTGGACAGTCAGCCAAGAGGACACACATCCGCAGGCGGACTGTGGGGATGATAGACATGGGAGGTGGCTCTATGCAAATAGCATTTGAAGTAACATCAAAGGTTTGTACGTTAGATTCCATCACAATTATAAATACACAGCTTAATGTATATATGTAATGCTGTGTGTTTTTGGTTTATCTAGAGACTGATCTTGTTGTTCAAAACATAAAATTTGAAAATGTTCTTTTTTGATTGCACATCAGATACCATTCAGATGGTTTTAAAGCTTCATGAACTCATTTGAAAACTCTCCTGAAAATTTGTTTAAATTTATCAAGCTATAACCCATGATAAGCCTTGAAAATTAACTCCCCTGAAAATCCCTTGAAATCTCTAGCGATCTAAAAGTCCAATTGAAACTCTTGTTAACTCCATTAAAACTTCCAGTTAAACATTTTCAAACTCAACTTCTTTAAACAGTTGAAAATTATATGAAAAAAAAAGACAAAACATTCAATAACTATTTTCTACACCGAAAAGATTCCTGATATACATTCTATGATGTTGACTTGTTTATGGTTTCAGTCTGCAACAATCCCTCCACATAGAGTTGTTGAGTTTAACCTAGGATGTCAACAAAACGACTTTGATCACACATACAGAGTGTATGTCTCTACTTTCTTGGGTTTTGGGGCCAATGAGGCAAGGGACCGCTATGAAGTGATGCTTACAGAGAATGCTGATCATTCCAATGTTACACAAAGACAGAGTGATAACACAGAAAACTCGACCCTTAACAGGTACTGTGAAACTTGACTCTTAGTAGATACTCTTTAAAACTGACAACATGTTTTTCAATAAGATGCATCAGTTTGTTAACACGTAATATACACGTTTTACTTTACACACAACAATTTGCATATTAAATGTTTTGCAATGTTTCAAGATCAGTCGGTCTAGAAACATTGCTACACATTTAATACCTACATTGTTTGTGTGTAAAGTAAAACTTACATATATATAGGACAAGAAATATGCATGTGTAACAGGGAGTCTATTACTGTGATGTTTTAAACTTTGAGATCTGTCTGAAGAACTTATGATTTGAATTGTAAACTATAATGTTATACAAATCATCGGGGTGTAGAGCCAACACCATACTTCTAATCTAGGTTCTGTAGGGTCCTGAAGAAGCCCACATGTTTGGGCGAAGCCGGTAGACATACAATAAAGAAACCAACCTATCATGAGCTTGTTGCGATTGAATATTGCCTATAATGTTATAGATACAATCTGTATGTGTAAACTATTATAATGGTTTGATGAAACGTAAATGTTCATTGACGTGTTGTATGCTGTGTAGGTGTTGGGTGCATGTAGCTGTACAACATGTTATAACATTTCAACACGTAAACACCTTAAAATTAGTCAGAATACTTCGCACTTGTGACATGACAAAAACTGCAGTAACTGTGAATGCTGCGCCACTTAGTTGAGGGGGCATTAATTGTTTGTCTTTTTCGTCAGTCTGTCCATTAATGTGATATCTTCATCAGACTTGAAATACTAGAAGTCCAACAATCATCAGACTTTGTATGGGAATACATCCTGAGGATTATTACAGTAACTGTAACACCAATATATCAAACGTAGGTCACTGCAATCTATACTTTTTACTTGACCGACTTTGTTTATACTAATGTTTAGCTCTTTTCTTTGGTTAGACTTTGCGTAAGTTCCATTGGCGTCAAAGCAGGAGCGCTGCCTATAAGCATGTTTAAATTTTTTTATTTTGTTTTCATGTAACAACTTTCTCCAGACTTCTTAAGAAATATGATTAAGTTTCCCTGAATGTTGTAAAATACGGTCAAGGTCACATATGCTTGTCTTTTGTAAATTACAGTCACTTCAGCCATAACCATGGCAAACGAGTCCTACCAGACCCCTGCCTTCCCCCAGGCTTGTTCTATGAGAGAGAAGACGAGGAAGGCCACACCTACTTTTTCCATGGGACTGGGGATTACCTTGTGTGCCAGAAAGCTGTTTATTCTCTTCTCAACCTATCAGCCCAATGTGAACAGGAAGCATGCTCTATGAATGGAGTTCACCAGCCCGAGATACCATACCAAAAAACAGAGTTCTACGGCTTCTCTGAGTTCTGGTACACGATGCAGGACATTTTCAGGAAGGGTGGCCTGTATGACCATGAAGACTTCCAAAAAGATGCACAGGTAAATGGATAACTAAGGGTTGTGTTTAAAGTTATACCTAGAAGTAGAGGATTAGTTAAAGATCCCATAGTGTTTGACCGGTTACTTTATCACCCAAATGATCCAAATGACCACTGAGTATTGTTATTTACGAAATAAACATATACATGTATTCGAAAGACCTCATCAATCAAAGGTTGTATCAACCATACCCCTTTTTATGAAGCTCTTCATGTCATAGTCGAATCCAGCCTATTTTAGGGGGCATTCATTCTGTAAAATCATTTACCAATGTCTTGAATACACTTGCAAGTCTTTCTCCTACACTCTATATGTTTTTACTGTTGTCAGATAACTTGAATACCTCTATAACATACCGTTGGCTGTTAGGTACTAGTGCATGAAAGGATATCACTTGTTAATTTGCATGCTGATTAAAGGTTCTGGTTCAGAGCTCTGACTGTCCTATAGACTCGATTGTACTCTGAGGCTTCCACTGTCCGGTAAACACAACTCAGCTTTAATCGCCCTTTGGCCTGTAAACTCGACTTTACTCTGTTAGTCCCTGTTTTATGTAAACCTGATATTTATATCAGTTAGTCCCCCACCAGCACTAGGAATGTTGTACTCCATTCATCTGTCAGTCTGACCTGTAAGTCCTTCAGTACATGGGTTGATGTATATCCCATATACTCTGTACTTACAATTGCGAATTTTTATATGATAATACCTTATTGGATGGCTGCCTATTGTATTTCAAAATTTGGTCTTGTACCCCAATAAACTGTTCTTGAAAGTTTAACCCACCAAATTAAAAAAAGAGACCTGTAAGAATCAAACCTAGTTCAACTTGACCTTCCTGATACTTTGTATATATTTAGCTCACCTGGTCTGAAGGACCTATGAGATTATGTCAGCGCAGCGTCTGTCCGTCAACTTTTCCTTTAAAACGCCACTAGTCCTGAATGACAGAGTAGATTTTGACTTAATTTGGTCTGGGGCATCCTTAAGGCCAAGGGCACTCATTTTGTATATATGGTGGTTGTGGCAGAGGAGAGGGGCCAAATTGGGGAAATAATGGTAAAACTTTTAAAATGATTTTTCTAACATAGGGATAAAGGGATTTATCTTAATTTAGTCTGAAGCATCCTTGGGCCAAGATGACTCAGTTTTGTATAAATGGTGGGTGTGGCCCCCCTGGGGGCAGATGGGTGGGGCCGATATACCTATATCATCTCTATCGTAGACCTTTAAAATCCTTTTACTACCATAGGGATTAAGGGATTTCATCCCAATTTGGTCTGAAGGATCCTTGGGCTAAGGGCACTCAATTTTGTAGAAATAGTTTGTGTGTCCCTAACCCCAGGGCAGAGGGGTGAGGCCCAATAGGGGAAATAGAAGTAAAACCTTTGAAATCCTTCATGCCTGTTACTATTAAGGTGAATTCTTTAAAACAAGATGGCCACCAGGCCGCCATCTTCGATTTTGACAGTTGAAGTTTGTTCTTGCTATATCTCCAGAAATACTGGTTGGATCTTACTGAAATTTCATATATACATAAAGTACCTACCATGGAGTGCTATATCTTTACCTCATATCAATGACTTAAGTTTAAACATATCCAGGTGAGTGATACAGGCCCTCTGGGTCTCTTGCTTTTGTATATAAAGCGATTATAATCACTGAAGACAGCAGCAAGTTTAGAACCGATTACTTTCTGTATACTTTCAGAAATTTTGCAGTACTAAGTGGGCAACCCTGCAGTCTCGTGTAGAGCAGAACCTGTACCCTAAAGCTGATGATCAGCGCATGAAGTAAGGCCAACAGTACAAACAAATCTTAGCATAGAAATATAACTTAATTCTGTAGAGATGCTGATATAAGTTACTGTATTTTCATACAGTTGAAAGTATCTTTTTTGTGATAGAGTGATTTTGTGGGTAAAATAAACTTATTTCCATACTGCTTAATGAAATAGTTGTAGACAGTTTCTGATGTAGATGTAGATCTATTTGCCTGAGGTCTGGGGTAACCAATATGTTTTTTTAGCTCACCTGGCACGAAGTGCCAAGTGAGCTTATGCCGTGGCGCGGCGTCCGTCGTCCGTCGTCCGTCCGTCCGTCCGTCCTCGTCCGTCAACTTTTCCTTTAAACAACTTCTTCTGAAGAACGGACAGGCCTAGAGTCATGATATTTGGCTGAAAGCTTCGTTGGTAGGAGCCCTACAAAGTTTGAGAACGAAAATGACCTTGACCTGTTTTCAAGGTCACAGGGGTCAAATATGTCAAAAACTTCAAA